GGATATTGTAAGGTTGGAAGTACAATTGTTCGGATATTGAACAACACGAGGGACACATATCCGAGTGAAGTTCAAATCTGCAATCGTTCAGATATAGATCGACACGAGGGGCACAGATCCGAGTGAAGTTGAAATCTGAGCGATTGCACGAGTTACACTTGCATAATCTACTTATGATGTGACGCAGTACGAAATCCGATCACAGATAAAATATTTTATACCAAAAAAGACAAGGTGTTTGCCTTTGAACATGGAGTTGCGAACATTGGCCCTTCTTTTAGTACTGTCACTGGGTATTTTCTGACTTTGTATCAAGATTGCACATCGGTGAAATAACGGGATATGGACGTAGATAATGTCCCCAGAGAACAAAGAAGTCAAGAGGCCAGAGTGTTATCCAGATTTCTTAGATATACTTCGCATGGTGGCCAGTTCTTCTGAAACGTTATACCTTTACATGTATTTGTAGGCCACGGACAACCCCGTTATTAATTGGTGTACTACCCACACATGTTTGGAATATAACATATGCGTAGCTATGTAGTTGAGAAAGGGAACGTACTATACTATGATATATTGAAAGGTCAACGTTCACCCACATGTGACATATATGTTATATTCCAATGGCTTACTGAAAGGTCATGATAGAAATCGACACCAGAGTGAAAATAATAATTAACATTTTTAGCATATGTAAGTGTTGTGTATTCGCAGTGAGTCATACAAACACACAAGGCTAATAGTTTTTGTACGCGTGTTTCTTCTGTGACGTTGACATTTTTCAACTCTTGTTATTGATATAGGTTTTTTCATCATATTCAAATATTGCAAGTTCAGGAACCATTGCGCACGAACGACACATATATGTATTTGTATTGCGAGGGGACGCTACGAAACTTACACACCGTCTAGACCAGGCTGTCAGTGACGGACGACGGGAGAATAGCGAAGACGTGTGTGTGGTCCACATGACTGACTCGAACTCGAAGACGACTGTAATATCAAGATCCCCCGTCGAAACAATACTCGTGGAACACCAATGTTACTGACATTTGCTGCAATAACACGTTCCTGTTTAGTCGCATGCACTTAATGAATATAATAACACAACCCTAAACATGTTTTTCAATAAATCTCAGCTATTAAACATGTAAGCATATTACCGACCCGTTCATGTCAACATTTCACAAAAGCAATTTCAAATTACATGGCGACCGACTGTTCAATTTCAAGGAGCAGGTGCACGAATTATGTTATTTCTAACGTAACTGTAATTGTGTCCGTTAACCACGGATCCATTTTAGATTCTATACGTTAACGAATATTTATATCAATAACAATAAT